AACAGCGCCGGTTTGAAACGGGGGGAGAAAGTCGCTTCTGCGCGAGCTTCTCGCGATCTCGCCCCCGCGCGTTCGCTTTGTCGTTTCCACAAGCGCGGGCTTTTGCCCGGGCTGCAAAAAAAAAATAAAAAATCCGGATGGCTACGAGGTAGCACCAAACAGATAATGAAAACTTTAACTTTTGGGCGGCAATTAAAAAACCTGAGTTGAGGACCTAAAGGGGTAGGCAGAGAGGAAGGGTGAGCAGCAGAAAGGCTGGGGAGGACTTGCTTCTGAGTAAGTTAGCGTAGGATCAGGCTGTCTCTGAGGGTTATATACAGCAGATATATGTGAGTCTGGATCCATCTGATCTGTGGATCTTCTGAAATCACCATCAGGGTTTGCAGCTTCTCAGTCTGTTACAGTCACAGAGCGGATAATTGTGGTGCCAGAAGATGGACCTGAGGCACAGATTCTTATGAATCGCCACGTTTTATAGGTGAGCCGGTTGAAATTGCCGTCAGATCTTAGATTGCACTCATATTCATGTAAATGAGTCATAACAATCTTGGACCTGACCGTTTGAGGGCCACCATGACCCAGAAACGTGTATCAGAACTATGAATCCTCCAGATTTTACAAGGGAACCACTTTGTAAAATGCCTGTCACTTTCCTCAGCACAGAATGAGCCTCAGATACCCTCGCCTCTCCATCAGTTTTGTGCCAAGATAGTGCCAAAAATGGTTGGAACTGTGATAGTAATGGCTGGGCATGTAGAAATGATCTATGATTTCATGTTTTCAGTTGGATCCAATGAAAAAAAGTCATGAGGTTTCCCTGTGGGTAGGACTTTCGTTTTCTTTTATTTTGTGTTACAGAAACAGTCGTCTAGTGCCCTCCAAGTATGTTGGACCACAAGTCCCGCCAGTAAAGGAAAGTATAGTAGACAGACTGAAGGATAATACAGGCCCTTACAAGTAATGTTGCTAACTAGCAGATGGATGGAAGCAGGGTTATTCCCAATATAGGTTATAACTGGGTGTCATATAACTCAATCCCTCCTTTCTCTTTAACATTCTTTTTTACATTATTGGAAAGGAATGCTCATTAGACCTCAAGCTATACACAGTAGTTATGAATTAATTGCTCAGCGCCTTCTGACTAAGAAAAATGTTTGGTTCTGTCACACGGCATCAAGCATGCAAGGTCTATATTATACTAGGTATAGCATAAATATACATTTATAAATCTCAATGCAAAAAAGAACATTATTATTTTGCCAGCAGATAAGGGGAACACTACAATTATTATGAAAACAGAAGACTATCAGAAGGTCCAGAACTTCTTAGATCCTGCAATATATAAATGATGTGATGTGACAATGTCTTGCATGAAAGTAATCAGCTCATCAAGTCATCGTCAATCGTACCTGATGTGCACAAAAGCCTTTGCAGGACAGAAGCCTTGCTACCACGTTTGTAAGGGTTACCAAAGATCCAAAAAGATCGATGTTTGTGCCATTGCATCCAGTTGTGAGCACCATTGGTTCCCCTACATAAAATATTGCCAAAAACCTAGCTGCAGATTTATAGCCTTACATTGGACAATATATGCCAATATATATTAAGGATTCAATTCACTTCTTCAAGAAACTCAATAAGCTCAGTCGTGGACAGCAGAAAACAA